CGACTCAATGTGCTGCTTGAAACGCAAACCTTTATCCAAAGTAACCCCCAGGTACTTAGCTGAAGGCTTCCACTGGATATCTTCCCCAAAGACTGTTAGCGCACCAGATGGAGTGGCGCGCTTTCGAGTGAACAGAACCGCAACGCTCTTGGTCGGATTGACGTCAATACGCCAGAGCCGGAACCAATCCTCAATTTGATCAAGGGCCTCTTGGAGCAACCTCGTGACATGATCGGTCGAAGTGTTCGCGGTTTTCGGACCAGGATGGCAGTATCATCGGCGTAGTAGGCAATCGGTGGAGGATCCGGCCTGTATTTTGGCATGTCAGCCATAAAGATGGCCAAAAGAAATGGCGACAGGATAGACCCTTGGGGCACACCTGACCTAATGGGTCGAACCGAGGAACGTACGTCACCCAGCTTGACGCTGAACGTTCGATGGTCAAGGTAAGATTCAATTAGCTGAATTAGACCATCAGGGAAACTGCTGGTGATCATTTTGTGAACCCACAGCAAGATATTAGCCCAGTAAGGTAAGAGGAGTAAACAATACAGGGAAGTAACTTACGCTGCTACTAGATGTCAGTCCCGAACACACGTGCAGTTACGGTCAGTTACGGTTGTTTGCGACGAACTGGGGATGTAAACAAAACGTGATATTAGAATATTGACATTTCAACTAATCAGAACAGATATTTCTATTTGATAACAATGCAATAAGTCATGAAACGACATCATTCATAACAATAGTCGTTTTGTGATTCTTGTCTTAGTCTTGGCGACACCTGGCCCAGTAGATATTGTAATGATGTTTATTTTACTTGTCTCAAGGAGGATTTACTCCTTAGCAAATATGCAACATTCATATGCATATTTAATAGATCGTTTTGTGGTTGATATTTTGATTTGAATTTGTAAATGAAACTAGATGTATTTTTCATTATGCATATTTATTTATTTATCATTATGTTTTTTTTTTACAAAAATATATAAAGTGGAGGTATATTAAATTGCAATATTACAAAGATTACCTAAGACTAAAGAATAATGCTTCATGTTCCCGATTCTGATTGCCTTTCGTTCCATAAATATGGCATCAAATAAACTAGTGAAACCTGTCGGCTGTCCGCGCTGTTTCGCTGGACGGATAGAAGAAAAATCCATGGATCGTGTCGCGCCATTATCGTCGTATATATATATATGTATGTTCTCATTAATAATTAATTGTGTATTTTAAAGCTATATGTACAGTCCAAGTTCTTGGACTCCAATGAAAAGGTACTCAAGTGTCGGCGGTTCATGTACGAAGTTTAAGGAATCGTGCGAGAACCGCCGGTTTCCAAAGAAATCTTAACTGCTAATGAATTGGATTGCTATTAATATTGGTAACCGCCGTTGTTTCCGGATGGGTAACCGCCGTTCTGGTATCCGCCGTTTCCGTATCCGTTTCCGACCTGCTCGTAAGAGATCTTCGGCTTGTATCCTTCGTTGTCAGCGACGTACTCTACCACCTGGCGCCTGCCATCAGGAAGCAAGACGTAGTATTTGCCGCGGGCGACGTCTCCTTGGCGGGCCTCCTCGTGTCCGAAGTCGTTACCGGAGGCTGCGTCCTGAACGTCATATTTGAAGTTGTAGTTGGCTGGCTCCTAAATCAAAAACAAAACAAACAAGTTGAATATTTGCGAAACGCTTTCCCATCGATCAAAACGACCGCTTTGCATATATCAGATCTCGTTCAGGTCTTGCTCTTCAGATGTTACAAAATGACATTCGAAACAATCGGCAATTGTTTCTGCGCGCCTCTTCTTTGTTGCCTTTTTTCTTTATTCGGAATTCGGTCCAGTTTTTCATTATTTCTCGACGTGAACATTCTTCGGATGTGGAAAGAGAGAAAAGCCAATTTTCTCGTCTGCTACGCGCATCTCATTACATGCACTAGTGTTGCTTGTTCACTCGACTAATCGTTGCTGGTTACAAATTAAAGAACAGAGGGCAATTTATGTAGGATTATAAGATCATTCCATATTTACTTGTTACCATTATATATTCCCATTTATATCCTGTTATATATCTTGATTATTTAATATCCGATATATTTTTTTTGCAACTTGATTAATAAAAATATTAAATCAATTTATCAGAAAAAAAATTCTTAATACAGTTAAGTTAAATAGACTTAATTTGTCATGTTTTCTGCTAATGATTTGTTGTAGTTAAGTTAAGTCGAAATAAAAAGTAACTTCAAATATAATTTCTTGGATTAATAGGAGAATTTGTAACAATTTTTGGTTTTGCTATAATATTGAAATAATAAATTTGTTTGCAATATTAAAAAATTATAATTGTTAATATTTTAATAATCAAATTCAGTAAAAGTTGCTGATGAATTGAATGAAATTGTCAATGATGTATGTTTTCAAAAATAATTGTTTATCAATTTTTGTTTAATTATGTATAATATGTCAATTAAGTCTATGGAACCGGTGAGATTGTATGTATTTTGTGTAATAATTTAATAATTGTGTATGGTTTGTTACTCACAGATTGGTCGCCATATCCGTATCCACCGTTGCCGCCTCCGTTGTTCGGGGGAAGGTAGTTTCCACCGGGTCTTGGGGCACCGTACTGGTTGCTTGGCCTGATCACAGCCTGGGTCTGTCCTGGAGCACCGTAGTTCTGAGACGGAGGTCCATATTGGTTGGACGGTGGTCCATATTGGTTGGAGGGTGGTCCATATTGGTTGGAGGGCAAGTATTGGCTTGATGGTGCTGGGGGCTCAGCCAAAACAACGGCGGCCAAACTAGCGAATACCAGGAATACCTAATCCCAAAAATATATATATTAAATTATAATGGTTCCTGAGTTGGTGATGAACATTGCGAAGCAATCCTACCTTCATGTTGATCGTTTGGGATTTGGTGAGTTTTCACGGATTTGCTTTTGGAATTTGGATGGTGTGCTGTGACTGGATCAAGTTTGCGAGATGATCTGATATTGTGGATCCTGGGCAGAGGCTTTTATACTTCAAAAACGCAAGAAAATAGTGGGTGTATAAAATTCACTTCACTTTCATTCGTAGTAGAACCTTGCTCTACAGTGTGTATGTGTGTGCCATCACTACAACAATTTATCCCCGAAAATGGCGCAAAGCATCGTCGCATCCCTCTCGCTCTCTTGAACCATCACTCTCTCCCACTCTCTCTCTATCCTATACACATACACACACATTTAAACAAACTCTCGCACTCAATATTATTATGATGTACCAATGAATCAATCGTTATACATCCATATAGAACCAAACAATATTTTTTTTTCCAGTTTATAATTGGCGATTTTTTCTCTCTATTAATTATTGATTTACTTCGTTCCCAAGGAGTTTCGTTCGTGCATATTGTTTAACGAAATACACATGTACGACGTGTAAATACATTAAAGAAATTACCTATACTCATCGTCATTATTATTATTCCCTGTGCGAAAGTCGCTGTGTTATGTAAATTTAATTAAACTATTTGTAAAGTGATTCCGCTCCACAATCTGACTTGCAAATGCGCGTCAATTTCGGTTTTCTCCACATATTATTACGAATTGATATTTCTTAAAATTTCTTATAATATTCGTAATAACAATAGTTATTTAAACTTAGGATTTGACCGAAATGCAAGTTTTTTAGTGAAACCATAGATTTAAATAATAAAATTTAAATATTCTTAAAAAAAAAAATATAATTTATAATTTTAATTCGAACGTATTTTAATTTTATTGTTTTTACTCGTTAGTTTCACCTGATAAATATAGTTTTTCTATTTTAATTAAGAAGGGTAATGTAATAATTAGTTTGTTAATTGAAATTTTATTTTTATTTTTGCTGATTAACAGATACAAAGTCCATTAAAAGAAATCCAGGACGGAGACAGAACTTGTATAGCAAGAGATTCACACATATTTGGCTAAGAAAGTAAGACGATTCGAGAACGCGGACTTCAGTTATTGAGGAAATAATAGTTGTGTGTTAATTGTCGAGAAAGATCATGAATAACAATATATTTTATCTAATATTACAGCTATATATCGTGATATAATAATTCAACTAAAATATTTACGATTAAAGTCGACACAAAAGTTGCAATTTATTTATTTAGTTGCAATTTGCATAGCACATTCTTAAAAATATGAAATAAGAAATTACAGCAATACTGCGCTTAGTGCGGGTAATCGGTTGCTATATTTCGCACTGTTTGAAACCTGACTAAATACATACACACAAAAAGAGATTTAACTGCATAAAGTCAAAGAAAACAATAATTTTTGTATAAAAAAAATATATTGTTACATTTTTTTATGTGCTTTTAGTTATTTTTTAGATATTGCTATAACTAAGTCAAATATTAGTTACAACTTTATTCGTAATTAATATTTATACTTAAATTTAAAAGAAAAATCAAGATTTGCTAACAAGTAACATTTTTATACAACAATGTGACACAATGCAGTGTGACTTTGATCGGATCGACTTGTATGAAAATTTCGAAATAAACTAAATTCTAATTAAAATTCAAAAAAAATATACACATAATTAATTATTAAACATGGTCGCTTTTTTCTTCTTTATATACAGTCAAGTCTTAATAAGAAGTGCAGTTCATTTTTAAATGTTTCAAATAGTCCGAGGCGGAACCGGGAGATATTGCTTTCTTTAGATTAATGAAATCTCATAAAATTATTAAATTATAGCAGAGAAAATACATTTAATAAAAAGCATTTTTATTTATGTCATAATTATAGTATTTGCAAGAAGTTCGAAAATTTATTTAGAACTTTCAATATATCCGAAATTAAAGTCTCAACATTTCCAAGAATANNATATATATATAACATTATTGATTTATCTAATTATATGATTTCCGTTAGAAAATAAATTAATATATAGAGTTTTTTTCATATAAGATTTTGCAGTTTCCTTTTGTGCTTGCGAAATATGGATTTCACTTTCGAATGAATTCTTTATAGAGTAGGGCGGAATACAATGGATAACATTATATTAATAATGTTTTCCAAATTATCGCAGTCTTTATATTTGAAATTGTGCTATCCATCAAAGTGTGTCTATTAAAAATCTTTTTAATATTCACAATATTATAAGTTAATTATGTTTTTTTTTAGATAATATTTGAAAATAATATGTAGAATTAGTATATAGTATAAATTAATAATGTGTGTGTGTATTATATCGATCTAGTTTTAAGATCAAATCATATTACGTGATGTGCTTGTGTTTTAGTATAACTGTAAGTGATTAGTTTCAATATTGCGAACTGTTTGCAACCGGAATAATCGAACCAAAAAAAACGGAATCAATTATTTTTGGATAAATCCGGGATATTGGAGGAAATACTTATTCATGTATAAACTGCTCTGAAAGTCGCTTGACTATATGAGGAGAAAAATAATGAACTTTTATGTATAAAAAAATAATTTTGTGCACAATTTTATTATAAGATTACATTAATATAAATTTGGTCTTTTTCGAAAAGTAATTATTATTACGTATGAATTAGTTATTTTTAAGTAGCGTGTGAAAAATAAGGAAATAGGAATCATGAATAGATTATTTTTAATTGTTTGTAAATAAAGATTATATATTGATTTATAAATTAGTTAGATGGAAAGACTTCTGGTTATAATCAGGGGTGATATTATATTGGATTGCGTTGTTGAAACAAATCCCATAAAATATAAGTAGATTATGTAACTCTAAAAAAAACTATGGAATAAGGCCATTTTGACATTACTGCAGGCTGCCATCTGTATGAAAAATAGCAGAATAAACTCAAAGTCCTCAATACTAATCAAAATATTATATGGAAATTATTTACTTTAAAAACAATCCCTCCCTTAATACCGAAAATGATATGAATATTATTTTATATATCACCCCTGGTTATAATACATCTTACTTTAGTACTATTAATAGATGTTCCTACACATCAAAAGACTAAATTTTATATTCAAGGCACAGTATGTTTATTTAAATATTACGAGAATTGCCAAATGTATTTTTTATTTTAAGTAGATTTAGATAGGCATGTAAGAGTTTCAATATGAATACTAAAAAAAATTCTTTAAATGTAAGTTAATACAAAATTCTAAAAGCTCTAACTTGTTACAGAGAGATATATAGTGATAAAAAATTAACTGTCCAAACAAAAAATGATAATTTCTTTAATAAAATATAGTATTTGTGGAATATGTATTATCTGTTTTGTTGTATTTGTCTCTTTTGTCGTTTTTATTAAATAATTGTGATGTCTGCATTGAAAAGTATTTGTAAGTAAGTATTTTGTTTATATTAATCTATTTTTCAAATGTATGCAGTCATTAGTACGGAATTAAACATATATAAAAGTAAAAACCATGATAAAATGTGGTAAGATAAGCATATTTTGAATATTTTTTAAATTCACCCGACTTATGAATAAATTCGACTTATGCACAAACCTTTGGAACGAAACTAGTTCGTAAGGGGTACGTGTACATAAAAATTATATTTCTAATTATTTTGGCTTTATTTAGATTCGGTCTATGCGAGGTATTGTTATATAAAATTGGTTAAATTTAAATATTAAGCAAATCATGAAGTAACAAATTAATGTTTATAAGCTAGAATCGTTAGTCAAACATTAAAATAAACCATCTTCCATCTTCAATTTTTAATCTAGATAAAAATAATTACAAGGAACATAGCGATCTTTCTAAAACATTATTTATTATTTGGCTTCTTATATTGATTGACAGGTGTATCGATTAATCAAACCGAGTAAGTAAAAGTTAGAAGCTGTTGGAATCTTCCTCGTTAAATTCTCTCTCTAATTTCAATACAATTTTTTTGTTGCCTTCTTTCTAAAAGTACGCTTATTTTATTCAATTTACAATCTTTTTTTGTGTGTGTATTTTTTTCAATGCGTTTTCGCATTCCAGTCGTTCGTTTATGTTTGACTTGTTACCTAATGTTTGATGCTTCGAATCGCTTCCTTTCGAATTCAATTGACCAGCAATTAGTGTTGTATTTAACATCTCTCCTGTTCGGATCTTCCTATTATTCTTCGCGCTGCCACTAATTGTTACAAATACTCATTAAAGAAATCATCGGAGCTGCCGAACGTTGCGACAGCGCGCAATCTTCAGCGGGGAGGAAGTTTTGCAACGGTTCGGCAAGATGAGATTCTAAGGAAACAGGCTGAATTCGTTTATGTAAGATGCTCGATTTTAATTTGAGCATTATTGTTACGCTCGAAACGCAAGAGTGTTGAATGCGGACGGGCGGTCGTCCCCTTTCCGCCTGCCTATACAATTATCGAAATCAGGAGGAATTGTAAACATCCTGTCAAAAAAATGTCTTGGATAGGTTTCATTATAATAAATTTTAGAGAAATTATATATAAATATCCAAAAAAATAAATAATATTAAGACTTTCATAAAAATATATATAATATTTTAATAAATGTTTCAAAGAAAAAAATCATATATTTTTCTAAACACCAACACTTGAATCATTTCAATAATATAATACATTATAAATTATAGGTTTCTCATTAAATTTTTAATGAGTGTTAAAATGACAACGTTTATCTTGTGTCAAAGCGAGAAACTGGTGAAAAACTGTTCTAATTGCTAACAGTACAACTCCAAAAAAATATTTTGAGTCGCGCGGCAAAATGGTTGAGAAATCTAAATAATAAAATAAAAAAAGAGGTGTATTTTCAAAGACATTAAATGGGATGTTTGAACAAAAAGTCATTAAAGTCGATAAAACTGATTGAAATGACCAATATGTTTTGTAATTATAGAAGAGGTGTCGTTTTTTTTAATAAGCAAGACTTTTTATTTATGTATGTACTTGTTTGGTATGCCATTTTATGTATGTACTGCCATTTAAGCAGTTAGGGAAGTTGAACTTGCAATGTCATTTGTATATTTGATTAACTATTAACAAATACTTTGCACAGTGAGGGTAAACTAGGATTTTAACACCGCATAAAAAGAAACTGCACAAAAAGAGACTTGACTGTACAAAAGGGGAATAGCGATTTATGTATACACAAATTAAGAATTTATTTTTAAGTCATTATTTTTATAATAGTCATATCTATTTATTTTGTTCAATTAAAATTGAAGCAGCACTAAGCAAGGTATTGCTGTATATTGCATTCAAA